TGCTTGGCGGCGACAGCGCTCGCCATAGCTGCGCGGCCTGGGCTGCGCCCCCCGTGACGTCACGGCGCGGCCCGAGCAGGTGCCGCCGAGATCAGTGACTGCGACTACGCCTGCGCGCGGGAATAGGTAGCACCAAGAGGGGACCGAATGCGCTTGCGCAAAGGGCAGGCATAGCCAAGGAGGGGGAGAATGCGCCTGCGCAGCGGGCAGGTGCCTCGATGCAATGGGAGGGGAGGGGCGGGGCGGGGCGGGGCGAGTGAGGGAGTGAGTGAGTGAACGAACGAACGAACAGGGAGGGCGCGTGAGAGACAGATGCTGCGTTGCAGGCAGGGTTGGGGCCGATCCGCTGGTGGCTGTGGTTGGCCCAGACCGGGAGGCCGGGCTGGGAATGGCCCGTGCTGCCAGGGTAACCCTTCCTTGTAGCTAGTAATGATGATAATTAGTCATTAAGTATGCTAATTACTCAGAGTGAATAATAGGGATCGTTAATAATAATGATAAGGATTGAAAGAGAAGGCAAGGGCTGACTGCTTGGGCTTGAGGGCGTTTGGCCTCCTCAGTGTCCAGCTGGCGCACAAGCCTGTGTTGCAGGGTGCAGGAATGGAGAGTGGAGACTGCCCGGAACTGCAGGGTGTTGTCACTGTTCTCCCAGCACAACTGCCCACCCCCAGGGAACAGGGTAACTTCTGGGCAGTCACAGACCGGGCTGTGAGGGAGCCTGGCTGGCTTCATTTCAAGAAAAAATTACAAAAAGCAAAGTGGCTTCTCCCCTCCCTTTGGCCTAGCTTGCCCTGGCCCTTCTTCAGCTCCCTGCTGGCTTCTCCCTTCTTTCTGCTCATTCACTTCCCTCATCCTTTCCCCAATCTTTCACTCTTCCCTACTAGTGTTAGAGTTGTGCTGTAGTCATGATAGTTGCAGCAGTATGCAAAAGGCAAGGATTTCTTACAGCCATTTCTTTTATTAGACCAACTGCATAGCTAGGACGGAGTGAGACAAGATTTTGAACACAAGATATTCCTCATCAAGCTTTCCATCCCAACTAGGATGAGTTTTTGCATCTTACTGAATTCAAGAATACGTCCTTAAATATACTGTTTATCCTTAGACTGCTGCCAAAAGCAGCATGTGCTCAGAAATGGAAACCAGCTATGAAATTGATTAATGCAGTCCATGCTGAGCACAGCTGTAAAAGACATGGCTCATTTTGGGCAGACAGACTGATGGATACCTACCACACTTGATCTTAGCCAAAAGGCCTTACCAAAGACAGGTTACTGCAATCTCTCTGAACAAGATATATGGTAGTGCCTATTGCACTCAGTCCTCCTCAATGCCAACTTCCTCTTCACTCCCACAGCTGAGCTGCCCCTTTCCTTTCCATTTCCAGTGACTCCTGTTTCTTCACCAGCCTTAAATGTCTGGCAAACATCACCAAAGGGGCCCCAAAAAGTTCACGCAGAATCCCTATCTCCCCACTTTTTCAGCCTGTCACTTTTTTTTTTTTTTTAAGGAGAATTTTTCATGTTCCAGGTCAAATTAGCCAGATCAGGTCCAAATCCATTTGAATCATTCAAGAACCATATGTGGCTCTGTTACCAGCAAGTATCCTCCACCCCAGCCTAAGGCAGGCATCCTGTGTGCAAGCCCAAGCCTGGTGGCTTGGGGTTTGGATGCCCCCGAGTTTCACTTGCCCTCAGCCTGTCACATATTAGAATGGCCCTGCCCTCGATGAAGTGCAGTCAGACCAGGTTCATTAAACTGGGCCCCAGCAAAGTCAACAGCATTTCAAGGCAATGGAAATGGGAGACCCTTCCCTAGGTTGCTCCTGCAGCCATATGGCTGCGGACAAGCAAAACTTGGGGGCATCCAAACCCCAAGCCTCTGGGCTTGGGCCTGCACGTAGGATGCCTGCTAAAGGATTTGGAAACATCTGAAGCTCTAGATGGGGTGGAGGATGTTTGCTGGTAGTAGGACCACTTATGGTTCTTGACTGACTCACTGATTTGGAATTGATTTTGCTGATTTGGCTTGGAACATGAATAATTCTCTTTAAAAATAAAATAATTCAAGTGATGGTGACCCCACAGCTCAGCACTGCTGCTCATCTGCATATAATTTTTTGGAGGATCCCAGGACTTGTGACAAGAACACTTGGTTCTAGTCATGAGTGGGGAGCTAATTAGCATGTAGATCCTTTGTGGTGGGTATTTGGAGTACAGATACATACTGGGCACATCTACACAAAACATTTTACTCAAGATTAGAGCTAATTACTGTGCAGTAAGCATCACTGTCTAAACGTGCAGATGCTTACTGCACAGTAATTAGCTCTAATGGCAAGTTAAGGTCCTACATGTAAATACAAGTAGCAAATTTACTCTTGATTACTTACTGTGCAGGAGTGCACATGTAGACTGCTGACCAGGAGCAAATGTTCTCTCAGCTGGGCAGAGGAGGCAGGAGATTGCTTCCTGCACACTGGAGCAGCCTGCTGCTGGCGAGTCCAGGCGGGGACTATGTCCCCCTGCCCCAGTAGCAAGGAACTCCCAGCGTGTGTTTCATGATCGGAGAACAGGGCCTAGGAGATCCTTATCTCCCAGCCCAAGCTCTGCAGTCACAAGGCCCAGGCTGGGAGCTCCCTCCTGCCAGGGCATGGGGACATAGCCCCTGCCTGGGCTCTGGTAGCAGAGCCCACCCTGGCAGCAGGCAGCTCCCAGGGGCAAAGAGCAATGTCTGTCTGCTGGCCCCATGCTCCCTGCCAGCCCCTGGGCTTGCACCCAGGGGGAGCCTAGTGCTCCCTCTGGCTGCTGCAGGGGCCCGGTTTAGGGCTGCACAGAGCAGGAACAGTCTGCTGCTAGAAGCAGTAAATCTGTTCCCGCATCTCTGCATGTGTAAATATGTGCCCAGGAGAGTTTACTCTAGCGTACTTCAGAGTCAATTGCTCCTAGATTATTTGCACATGTAGACGTGCCCACTGGGTGCATCTACGCAAGATGCTTCATCGCACGTTAATCTAATGCTCAGTAAAGCATCACTGTCTACACGTGCACAGCAATTACTGTGAAGTAGATTAGTTTAAAACTAATGTGCCAAAGTGCATGTGTAGATGCTGATTGGGAACAAATTGTTCCCAGTCAGCTTAAGCAGCAGGGGGCCACAGCAGGTGGGAAGAGCTGTCCTGGCTTGGCGGGACTCTGTCTCCCAGCCACATGAAGATTGGGACCTGTCCAGATCTCCACATGGCTGGGAGAGCTGTCCCAGCTGCTGGGCAACTGTCTCCCAGCCACATGGATATTGGGACATGACCTGATCTCCACGTGGCTGGGAGGCAGCTGCCCGGCAATGGGGACAGCTCTCCCCTGCTGAGTGAAGATGCGGACCAGCCCCTGTGCCTCCTGCCAGCCTAGGGCTGGCACCTTGGGGTGTGTGGAGCTCCACCCAGTTGCTGCACGGGGGCAGAGCAGGGCAGGAGCAGCCCTGGACTGAGCAGCTCCTGTCGGGCTCAATTTACTCCCGATGCAGGCACACATGTAGATGTGCACCTGGAAGTGCTTTAACGAGCTTGAATTTTCTGCACAGAAAATCGAGGCACATTAACTGTACATGTAGCACTGCACAACCTACTGAGCAATGCTGAACTATAGGATCACCATGGCTCAAAATGCTGTTGACTCTGCTGGGGCCCAGCCCAATGAGCTATGTGGTAAATCATGAGTCTTTTGGCTTTGGACTAATATTATGCATAATGGGCACATTTACATGTGCAACTAATGCGACACAATAAACTCTGGTACACATTGCACCAGAGTTTATTGCTCCTGGGTGCCACGATTACATGTGCGCCCAGGACTTAAGCACATTGAGCCAGGTTGGAGCAGCCCCCGCTAGTAGGGGGCGCTGTGAGTCAGCCTGCCAGCCCAGGGCTGCTTCAGTGTGGCTCAGCATGCTGTAGAGGGGCTGGCTGGGGCACAAGGATGCTCCAGTGCAGGGCTAGGTGGCAGGCAGCTCCTGCACTGAAGCACCCTCATGCCTGTAGGTGATGTGTAGGGGGAGCACAGGGAGGGGCATGTGCCCCCCATGAGATTGGCTGCTGCCGCCGCTGGCTTCTACTGGCAGTCGCTGCTCACCCCGCTCCCCACCAGTGTCTGCAGGCAGTCCCCACTTGCTCCCCCACTGCCGCCAACACCACCACTGGCATCTGCAGGCAGTCCCCGCTTGCTGCTCACTACCAATGCTGCCGCCTACAAATGGTGCCCCCCCCCTAGTCCTGGGAGGCACCAGTCATTCATGCTCATGCCCCAGCCAGCCCTGTCAGTATCTACACATCCGTTGCTGTGCACTAAGGATCTTCACCATAGGATAGTACTTGTGTTTACAAGAACTAACCTATGGTGTGTGCAGGCCGGGAGCGGTCTGAGGCCCTCGGGGGCGCGCGGCGGGCTGTGGCCAGCAGCCCTGGCACGTGGGTCGGGGAATGCAGGCCAGCGGACTAGAATTAGGCATGGACGCGTAGCAGTTGATTAAAGATTATTTTACTTACACCGTAGATGGTCGCGGTGCAGGCAGGAAAAACTTGCTTGCGTTGCAGTTACAGACAGACACGTGGAGTTTGCTAGGCTCCACAACACGAACTTGAACAAGACCCGCAGAAAACTTGAGCCTCTTGAAATAACTCGGACAGAGCTCTGGATACACACACACACACACGAAGCTTGCTAGGCTCCATGGAACAAGCGCGCAGGGAAGGGGTTCGTAGAGGGATTGCGCTCGGTGACGGGTAAAGGCCAGAGGTTGATCAGACCCCTATAGCCTTCTTAAGGCACACGCCGGGGCCGTTATGCTCCACAGCGCTTG